GTCACTTATTCCAAGACTGCAATGCAATTTATAATTCTTGGCTTGCTAGTTTTATATCTTCTCTAATGTGTGAATCAAGGACATTCCACCATCTGTAGAGGAATGATAAATGAGTTGTCCAGGGAGAATCTTTGATTGCTCTACAAATGTACAATTTATTTCACCTCACAATACTTCCTTCTATGTCTACATCTTAAACTTAATTCCTCCCCAGTCACAGTTTTCAATATTCAGAGTGGCCTAAAGAGCTGTCTGCAGTGGCTCCATATCTGGTGCTGGACTGTATGCTAACATGCAGAAATCTTGTTTCTGTTAACCAGCTGAACCAAATTTATCTAGAAATTTATCTAGATTCAGTTCCTTGTCCAAACTCAGAACTGCCCACCCTGGCTGAGACTTCTAGCATAGAATCTTCCCAGTGAAGCAGAGATCTACTAGAGACCTGTAGTTTTCTTAGTACAAGAGAGAGAAAGAATTTTTTTTTGGGTTAATTAAACACAGGCTTGTGCAATTAATGCTTCCAAAACATCTTTGTCCATGATAGTGTGTATATCTTTTCTCCTTATGTATAAATGGAAGATTAGACATCAAATTTGTCTTCTGTGATCTGATCTGATCTGGAAATGCAGCACCCAGGGATCTCTAGGGCAGATGATGAAGTTCCACCTCTTTTGAACTTCATGATGATTTTGATGGAAGCCTTTAATGAACCCCTCAAATGTTTGGGAAAGCACTGAGGCCCTGCTAAAGCTTTGCCAATTAACCAATTAACTTCAGCTTTGCTTAATTCAGGGTGTCAAACTGCTGGCCCACGGGCCGGATGCATCATAGCGAAACTGCGCCCACCCCATTACCGGCAATGGCAAAAAAGTCACGATATGTCGTCACGTGACGTTGCGAGTTTGACACCCCTGTCTTAAGTGGACACTGAAGTAATTCAGGTATTTTGGACTCTGCCTGAAAGCATTATCTTATTGCAATAACTTTTCTGTGATAGATTTTTACCTTGATGCTGTAAACACTGTCCTATCATCTGAATCTTGGATTATTCTATACTAGAACGGTACGGAAATCTGTGTAGTGATTATAATACTTTGTATCCAAATAAGTGGCTCCTACAAAACAAGGCTGCTTCCTGTAATGGTTTCTCTTCAAAAATGAATCAATTCCTAATGTTCTCTTCATTTAGAACCTCAGTATTATTAATAAAGCTTCTTATAGCAGTTTAGAATTCTACCAGTTGAGGGAGGCTTTTTTTACCTAATTTAATTTTTTTTTTTGTGAACTATCAGTCAGTGAACCAAAAATCAGTGCCCTGTTCATCAATAAATAATAGCTACATTTGTAATAATTGTTACATGTTCAGACATAAATATTCATTTTCCTTTGTTTTAGAAAAAACAATTAATCAAGGAAAACCTGTGGGCAAATTTGCCTCATTTTCGGCAACCTTAGAAAATGAAATCCATCTTTCCTTTAGTTGTTATGGGGCTTCAGGAAAAGCAGCAGGTAAAACATGGGAAAAGGAAAATGTTTATATATTCTATGTCACACTATACTGAAAGAAATTTTTTATCATAGGCATTACCTTATAATGGATTTTTAGCATCTTTTCAAAAGTGTTATTTAGAATCCACACAGTTCCACAGAATTTTTTTAAAATTCTGTTCTGTATTTGTTCTCATGAATAAATTTGTGGCAAAGCAAAAAATAAGAATCAAAAGACATATTCAAATACAAGTTGTTTATGTATTTCTATAATGTTTTTTGTGGAAAATGTTTGATAGCTGATCTCAGATGTCTGCTAAAGAGAAACCTCTATTTCAGAGGTCACCAACCTTTCGCAGTTGACGGACCAGATGGAAAAGGAAGGGGAAATATTTTATATGCACATGTGCATGCGCACGCACAGGGCCACAAGCACACACACAATGCAAACGGGGCAGGGCTAGTGCCCACATGATACTCACTAACCCTACCCCATTCTTGTGTGGTGCAGCGCCCCGTTTCTGCACCCCAAGGCGCAGCAGCATCCCATTTTTGTGCCCTGAGGCGTGGCCACAAAGCTAGTGCAAGTGGGTGTGCATGCGCACATGTGTGCACACTGGCCAGCCTGTTCCGCGGCCCAGTGGCCAGCAGACCACAGACCACTACTGAGCCGCAGCCCACAAGTTGGGGACCCCTGCTCTCTTTGATTGAGCAAGATTGCCCACCTAAAATTCTCAAGAGTCCTCTTCCTTTTCAGCCCAGCCTAGCCTGCACAGGTAGCTTGCAAAAATAAAAAGTAATCCAGATAGCTCTAAATTACTGTTCATTCCTGAGTTAGTTCCACTGAAACTCTGCTCTTGGTGTCAAACCCTTTAAACCAGGGGTCCCCAACCTCGTGACCTGTTAGGAATCAGGCCATTCAGCTGGAGATAAGTGGCAGGCGAGTGAACGAAGCTTCACCTGTACTTGCAGCTGCTCCCCAGTGCTAGCATCACCATCTCAGCTCCACCTCAGATCATGAGGCATTAGATTCTCATTAGAGAGCGAACCCTACAGTAACCTGCACATGCAAGCTATTTAGATTGCATGCTCCTCCTCCCCCCCCCAGCTCTGGTCCATGGAAAAACTGTCTTCCACAAAATCAGTCCCTGGTGCCAAAAAGGTTGGGGACTACTACTTTAGACAACCCAAATCCTGGTTTCTATCCAGATGCATCCAGATTATAACTGGTAAGACAAACACAGACCACAGAATCACTATAAGGCTTTATGTAGGTCTTTTGCCTTTCAATTGATTAAAAATATTTTTCCAACATGTTTGCCAAGGTACAAATGTTATTACCAATTTAATTTTTTAATATGAAAGGTGAACAAATTCAAATACTTGCCTACGGAGCTATTATATTAATTGCATTCCATTTTATTTAAATATAAATGAAATGAAATGTAGATTTTGTCCTGGCTCATCTATTGCTACTTTGGAATATAGCTCCTGGCATATCACTTAAAGGACGTTTCTTGATCTAGAAATAGCTGCACATTTTTGGATGTATGTAATGTTTATTCTGTTTCATCAAAATGACCCATTTTCCTTACAGAGGAAATGGATCCTTATTTGGCAACTATTCTGGCTATCCCTTCAGTAAACTTGCCCACTTCGACTTTCCTTTCCTCGGCTGTTTCTGCTGCTACAGTTCCTGCTACAGGAAAGGCAAAGCCAGGTAAAGAAAAATCAGCCAAATCCTTACCGTCTGCCAAATTGAGTTCCCGTATGACATTGAATGTATCACCTGAAGAATCTTCAATGCAAGAAGAAAAAAAGGTATGAATATACTTCATAGAATACAATCATAGGGTTGGAAGGGGGCTTGGAGGTCTTCTAGTCCAACCCCTTGATCAAGCAAGAGATCATATACCATTTCAGACAAATGCTTGTCTAGGCTCCAGTGATGGAGCACCCACAAGTTCTGAAGGCAAGCTATTCCGTTGGTTGATTGCTGTCATTGTTAGGGAATTTCTCCTTAGTCCTAGATTGCTTCTCTCCTTGGTTAGTTTACATCCATTGTTTCTTATCTTGCCTTTTGGTACTTTGGAAAATAGTTTGACCCTCCTCTTCTTTGTGGCAGCCCCTCAAATATTGAAACACTGCTGTCATATCTCTCCTAGTCCTTTTTTTCACTAAACAATTCCTGCAACCATTGTTCTTATATTTTAGTCTCCAGTGCCCTTGTTGTCCTTCTCTACCCTCTTTTCCAGAGTCTCAACATATTTTTTATATTGTGGTGATCAGAACTGGATGCAGTGTTCCACATCTTACTAAGGTTTTGTAAATCAGTACTAGAACTTCACATGACCTTGATTCTATCCCTCTATTAATGCAACCTAGGATTGCATTGGCTTTTTTTGCTGCTGCTGCACACAATTGACTCATATATAAGTGATTATCCACTAAGATTCCAAGATGCCTTTCACAGTTACTGGCATTAGGCCAACTTTCACCTAGTCTGTAGCTATACAGTTGGTTTTTCTTGCCTAAATGTAAAATATTACTTTTTTCTATGCTGGATTTCATTTTGTTAGATAGGGCCTAGTGTTCATGTCTGTCAAGATCTTTTTGGATCTTGAGTTTGTCTTCTGGGGTGTTGGATATTCCTACCAGCTTAGTGTCCTCTGCAAATTTGATTAGTTCCCCTTCTATTCCCTCATCTATATCATTTATGAAGATATTGAAGAGTACTGGGCCTAAAATGGAACCTTGGGGTACCCCACTGCTTACTTCCCTCCATATGGATGTAGTTCCATTGAGGATTACACATTTAGTACAATTGGTCAGCCAATTACAAATACATCTAGTAGTGGTGCTGTCTATCTCACACTTTTCTAGCTTATCAAGAAGTAGGTTGTGGTCTACTTTATCACATGCTTTACTAAAATCTAAGTATACTATATCCACAGCATTTCACTGACCAACTAATTTAGTCACTTTGTCAAAGAATGAAATAAGATTTGTTTGGCATGATCAGTTTTTGATGAACCCATGTTGTCCTCTGGTTATAACTTTATTTGTTTCTAGATGTTTGCAGATTTGTTGCTTGATTATCTTTTCCAAAACCTTCCCAGGCATTGATGTCAGACTGATTGGTCTGTAATTTCCTGGAACTGTTTTTTTCCCTTTTTTGAAGATGGGAACCACATCTTTTCCAGTCCTCAGGTAGTGCCCCAGTGTTCCAAGAACTTGAAAGATACGTTTCTATGGTTCTGAAATCACATCTGCCAGTTCCTTCAGACCTCTGGGATATAGTTCATTAGGACCTGATGATTTGAATCATTCTAGAGCGGACAGATGTTCTCTTACCTTATTTTTGCATATTTTAATTTGCTTAATCTGTCCGTTACAGTTCTGGTTTTGATAAGTTGAGTAGTGGTTGTTTTGCATGAAGACAGATGCAAAGTATGAATTAAGCAATTCTGCTTTCTTTCTACTGCCCGTTACTTTTTGTCGTCTTCTCCCATTAATGGACCTATTGTTTCGTTGACTTTTTATGAGTTGAAAGAAACTTTCTTTTATTGTTTTTGACATTTGTTGCAAGTCTTACTTCGTTCAAAGCCTTAGCTTTCCTAACTTCATTTTTGCAGGTATGGGCTATTTTTTTGGTATGCTGCCTTAGTTATGTATCCTTCCTTCCATTTTTTGTACTTATCCTTTTTTTCTCTTAGTTGGTCTGAGAATTTTTTGTGCAACCATGCTGGCTTTTTCTTGTTTTTCTTTTTTAGCAATATTGAACTGGATTGAACTTTTATAATTGTACTTTTCTGAGTTTCCCAAGCTTCTTAAGTTGGTGTCCCCTTTAAGATTTTCATCCATGTGATCCTTCCCAAGCTCTCTCTGAATTTGTTAAAATCAGCTCTTTTAAGTCTAAGGTGCTGGTTTGATTATGTTCTGTTGCTTGTGTCTGTTTTATATTGAATTCTGCTTTGACATGGTAACTGTCCCCTAAAGTTTCTGCAACTTCAGTCCCTTCTGTCGCTTCTTCTCTGTTTATAAGAATAAAGTCCATTTATACCTGTCCCTGTATTTGCCTCCTCTACCTTTTGGGTAATAGTTGTCAGATAGGTCAGTCAGGAATCTGTTCAATCTCCCATTTGTTGCAGAGTTTGTCTTCCAGTTGATGTCAGTGTAGTTAAAGTCCCCCATTACTACTGTGGTATGTTTCCTACATATAGGTAGTCTTCAACGTACCACCACAATTAAGCCCAAAATTTATATTGCAAAGTGAGAAATTTGTTTTGCCCCATTTTATGACTTTTCTTGCCATATTTGTTAAGTGAATCACTGCAGTTCTTAAATTAATAGCATGGATGTTAAGTGAATCTGGTTTCTCCATTGACTTTGCTTGTCAAAGTTTGCAAAAGGTGAACACGTGACCCTGGGACACTGCAACCATCATAAACATCCAAATGTAAATTACATGACAATGGGGATGCTGAAATGGTTGTGTGAAAAATGGTCATAAGTCACTTTTTACAGTGCCATTGTAACTTTGAACAGTCCCTAAGTGAACAGTTGTAAATCAAGACTACCTGTTCATCTATTTCTTCTGTTTAGTCTGGTGGCCTGTAATATACACCTGTGGTAAGGTTCTTTTTTTCCCTTTATGTTGACCCATATGCATTCTAGAAGGTTTTCGTCCTTTGTTGTGTGTCTGCAGAGAGGAAATAGTCTGTAATATATAATGCAACTCCACCTCCTCTTTTGTTAGATCTGTTTCTTTTGAATAGTTGTATCAGTACATTCCAGTCATGAGTTTCATGCCACCAAGTTTCTGTAATGGCAACTATATCATACTTGCACTCATTTACTAGTATTTCAAGTTCATCCTGTTTATTCCCTAAACTTTGAACGTTAGTGTATAGGCATTTACACTAACATTTACACTAAGTGGCTGATCTGGGTATGCTTCCTACATCCCCTACTTTGCATTTGAGTTTTTCTTCTTTTTACTCTTAACCTCCTTATTTGATTGGTTGTCTAGTGGTTTTTGCTTGGAAATATGTCCTAAAGGTTGTGAAAATTGGTCACCCTCCTCCTTCAGTTTTAGTTTAAAATCCTTCTGATAAGATGAGCCAGTCATTTTCCAAATATATTCCTTCCAGATATTATGAGTAGATTTGGCATCTGTGCAGCAAGCAAGATATGCTCCCATTGGCACAGTATTATGACTGATCATCTCAAATTAGGCTGCTCAGTAAACAGTATAATTTTGGCCTCCTTCAGATTATTAGTTACAGCTCCTTACATCTTTTTCTACAACAAAGAAGAAGAAAACTGGCCTTGAATTCCTTCCATTAGCCAAGGGAAAATATAGATTTCATAAATAAGTAGACAGATAATTTATTGGTTGATTAGTCTTACAACCATATCGAATATAAAATGAAAATAAAATACAGTATATACGTCCAAGGTAAAATAAATAAAAGGAGATACAGTGATAAAATAAATATGTGTTAAATACTAAAACTCAATATTCAGGTAAATACATCACCCAATCTATTCAATATAACAAGTCCTTTGGTCAATTGTCTTAATCATAAACTTAGCAGTTTTGTTCATGATGTATAGATTAGAACCCAGGAGGAAATAAGACAACCTGCCATTCAAATCCCAGTGGGCTTTGAATTTCAAGTAGGGATGCTAAGTATCTAAGCCTAAGAGGGGCATACAGTTGACTATCAAACAAAACAAGAGCAATATTTTTGATAGCTAAGGCACTGCATATACATGTTTTCTCATGATATTGAAGATGGTGGAAGCTCCCATATTGACCAACTGGCTAGAGAATCCAACAATTCAAATCTGGCTCTGGTATACACTGTTCTTGAGAAGTGGGTCAAACTCAGAAACAATTTTTGACAGAAATTATTCAAATCAAAAAATAGTTTTGTTCTTAGCCAACCAACTTAAAGATCTATTTAACTCTTTGTCAGTTTGAGTGCTAATATCTAGAATGAAATAAGTAAATAAAATTGCTAACCACAAGTGTATATTAACATTTTGTGCTTTCTTTGCTCTCCACCAGCTACAGAATGGGTAGTTCGCTAGACAAAAATCAGATTTTCCTACTCAGAATTCCCAATGATTGAGGAAACGGGTTTCTAAGAAACATGTTGTGGGGAAAATAAGAGGAGGAAGATGTGAGTAGAAGTAGTGTATACCTTTTTTTAATGAAAATTATCAGCACTTTTGATCAGTGACGTCATCAAAGTAAACAAACCCACGTGCTGATTACGTCAACAGGGCACAGCCCTAAAAGGAAGTGACGTGCTCAGCCCCCACCCTCCGGATGTGACGTTTTGGCCTAATCCCATCAAGATTGGCAGTCAATCCTCTGGGTACATGATTAGGTTAACCCTAGACTAATTCTATGGACATTCAAAACCAAAAAGAGCTAAGTAAAGTGAATAATTAGCAGAGGCCTGTGTTTTTGGGGAACAAGCCCTACTTTGGGGAGCTGTTAACCCTAGACTATTTCTATGGACATTCAAAACCCAAAAGAGCTAAGTGAATAATTAGCAGAGGCCTGTGTTTTTGGGAAACAAGCCCTACTTTGGGGAGCTGTGAAATAAAAAATAAAAAAAGGCTTTTTATTTCTAATCATTCTAGCCTAACGATGCTTTTAATTTTTGTGGAGTTTTAAAAATCAGTGCCTCAAAAGCTGGGGAAAAAGAAGCCCCTGAAAGGCAGCCAGAGCCTGCATTTAACCCCTTTTTTCTAAAAGATATTTTTTTCTAAAAGGTATTTATGTCTAGGTGGTTTTAAAAGCATTTCCTCGAATGCAGGGGGAAAAACAAACAAACACAGCCCCTTTTAAAACCCACAGCTGGTTTTTACCTTTGTAAAAAATCTAAACACACATATTTTGCCATTTGTACCCTGAATAAAATTTATTCTGCCCGCCTTCCCACTATAGCAAAAGACAAGGAATATTAACAGGAATTAAAATGCTCACAAGAGGCAAGCAGCCAACCAGGCTCACA